CGGTGGCCGATGACCCAGCCCCTGCCGACTCTTCTCAGCGCCTTGGCTCGGGCGACACTAACCTCCGCGACGGCGGCAGTGTCGCGGTGGAGCAGGGCGCGGGTGCCTCCCGCGCCCTGGCGCCGCGCAGCCCTGCGGCCCACGACCGGCCGCCGAGTCCGATTCCCGCGCGACCCCCGCCCCTGGCGTCGGCCAACGACGCCGTTTTGGCCCTGGATCTGATCGCCGCCGCTGCGCGGGCGGGCAGGCTGGCCCCCGGCTGCGATTGTCTGGGGGCGCGCGGCGATTTGGCTGGGGCGTCGCGAGACAGCCGTTGCAGGGGGCGCAGACAAGCTGTGCGAGCGCCCCCGCGGGACGATCTGGTTGGGCCCCTGTGCGGGCGAGACACCTGGCGATTGCGTCAAACGGCTTCGACGTGAGGCTGGGTCTACGTCTGTCAGTGGTTGGTACGCCTTCTGCGCGGCGCAAGACGAGGACAGGCGACGCGTCGCCTTCGACCCGGGAAGGCAGTCAGCTGCCCCGGCGTGCGGCTTTCCTCCGAGGGCTCGCGGGCGCTGGATACGACGTGACGCTGACGCTGGCACGGGGGTGCGGTCCGTGGGCCTGACTGGGGACCAGTGACCATAAACGCGGCCCAGACCTGGACCCTTCGCAGCCGACCTAGCTCGTGAGGAAGGCCGCGTTTTCTTCTGGAGGTCCTCCGCGACCTGGTCGCCGCTTCCGTCGGAGGCGGACGGCGCCTCCGCCCCCTGGGGGGGGGCCTCCGTGGCGGTTCGCCTCTGTTGGGGGGGGCGGCGACTCCCCTGTCGCCGCAGTTGGACTCGCCTCGGAACCCTGGTCTGGGCGTGTCGTGTTGGGGAGCCGTCGGCATCTCCACGCCCAGTATTCCACTTTCTGCGTTCTCCACCTGTCTGCGCAACTGCCCGTTGCTTTCCGTTTGCCTGGTTCCGACGATGACGACGGCGGCGTGCCTTCCAACCCAGGGCGCGCCCGCGCCCCTCTCTCCCAGTGGCCCTGCCCGTGGCAGCGGCTGCGCCCTTCCAGCCCAAAAGGGCGCCGCCCGCTACCTCTCCCGCCAGCTTGCGCACCAGTTAGGTGGTCCCGGCCTCGCCCTCATAGCGCGCTCTGTGCCTTGGCTCCCGCGCGTCGTCCAGACCAGGCGGCGCGCGGTCAAGCCCCGGCGGCCCTCCTCGCCCCCCCCGCTTCGCCCAGCTTTTGTTCCACCGCGCCTCGCCGAGCGAACCAGCGCTGGGCTGCCCCTGCTGGTGCTGCCCCCTGCAGTCCGTGCGGCCGGCAGGGGTTCGGCCGGCAGGGCTTTCTACCCCTGCCCGCAGTGCCGGCTGCCCACTTGGGGGTCGCCGCCGTAGCGGTTCACCTCTCGCTTTGCTGCCCCAGCTGTGCCGGCGCTGCCCTCCCCCGCTCGGGGTCGACCCCGGCATTGCGGCTCAACCCTTGCCGCTTTCCCATGCTGTGCGCTGGCCTTGGGCGGTCCGCCTTCTCCCGCGCGCCGCGCGCGGTCCGTCCTGGGGGCATGCGCTGGCGCTGCAGCCCCTGCGCTACCAGTGGATTTGCCGCAGTCGCAGCCTCGATGCCCCGCCTCGGGGGCCACCGCCGTTGCGGATTGCCCCCGCCTCGCCCGCGCCGCTTCGCTGGGCAGCTGGCTGGGCGCCGTCCCCTCGCTCTGAGGGGCCCCGTTCGTGCGTCACCTGCGCTGGGCGTCGCGTGCCTTTCGCCGTGATGCCGTGCGCTGGCTGTGGAGTGGCGCTCCTTCCCTTGCGTCCCCGCCCCCGCCGCGCCCCGCGCCTGGAGTGCGCTGGCCCCCCTCCGCGCGGCCGCCGCGGCCTCCGCCACCCTGGGCCCCCTGCAGCTGCTGCAGCGCCGGCCGGCCTCTGCCGCTGGCTCCGCGCCGCTGCCATTCGCCCTCCTTCCGCTGGCCACCGGGTTCCAGCCGCCGCCGCCTCCGCTCTTTCTCCTGCCAGGTCAAGCCCGTGCTGCGGCTGGTGGCGCCCCACCCTGGGTGCGCTGCGAAGCCGTCCCAAAGCCGCTGTCAGCTTGGGCCCCCAGCCTTGCCGCGCCCGCGCCCCAACCGCAGCCGTCGCGCGCTCCCTCCCCTTCCTCCCTTCCCGCGGCGACCCTCTAGTCTTTCCCTCCCCTGTTGCATGTGGGCAAGTTCGTGATGCCGCGCCCTGGTATCACTCGGACGCGCGCGCGGATTGCCCCTGCCGCGCTGCGACGTCAAAAAGTGAAGGTGCCGAGGCCCGAAACAGGGCAGGGTCGCCCGTTGCGAAAAAATGGCAACGCCGCGAGCTCAGGCCCTTCTTGGCTTGGCTAGGGCTTGCGGGATTTGCAGGGAGACGGTTTCGACCTGGAGCTGCCACGGTCGCCCCGCGCAGGCTGCTAGTCGGCCCGTCCTTTCCTGGGGACACGTCGTGCCCTTCCCTTTCTTGCGCTCATTTTCTTTCCAAGGGCAACCCTACCCCGCATGTCGTAATGAAAGGGAGAGGGCCCAAACCCTCCCAGACGGGCAATTTTAGACCCACCCAGGTAAGCCATGAAAGGGCGGTCTTAGGCCCAGACGCCCCTGGAACCTTTTAAGTCATCTCAAATCAGGCCCCCCCGATTCAGACCCCCCCATTTTATTTTGAAGGAGTAGCTAAACGCTGAACTCTTTTCCTCCGCCCTGGTCTGGTCAGGTTTTTCCCGACAGTCGAGGCTGATTCGTGGGTCGACCTTGCCAGATCAAGTGTTCCCTTGTGTGTTTTGTGTTCCGTGACCCCTGCTTTTACGTTCCTATGGCAGTGTGGTTTTCGGAAGGGCCTTGTGCCATGTCGCGCGTCCTCTCCGATCACGCCCGACTGTATCGTGGGAGCCGCTTGGTTCTGGAGGGAAAGCAGGAACGCGTGCAATGCTCACGAGTACGGCCGCGGGGCCTCGTCAGCTCGGGAACGGCAGCGGCAGGAAGACAGTGCCTTCCGTGGCGCCGTGGCGATTGTCTTGTGGTATCGATTCGGGAGGGTGGCCACCTAGCGCCCTACGATATGAGTCGCCTCTTGTTTCCACGCTGGGACTTGCTCGGCTCTTCCTGTGAGATCGACTCGGGAGGGTTCCAATCAACCTGGACTGCATTCGGGAGTGGTGCCAGAGGCCGGGGGCTTCTTCTGCCGCCGCCGCCGCGGCCGTGCAGGTCGGAGCACCTGCAGGCGCCTTGGCTCCGTGCTCGGGGGCTGGGTTGTGGGCGGCGGGGAGAAGGTAAGCACAGTGATTTGGCCTCCCCTTCTTCTTCTCCTCCTCCTACTCTTCCTCCTCCTCTTCCTCCTCCTCCTGCTCCTCCTCCTCCTCTTCCTCTTCCTCCTCCTCCTCCTTCTCCTCCTCCTTTTCCTCCTCCTACTCCTTGTCCTTTTCCTCCTCGCCTCCCTTTCCTCCTCCTCCTCCTCCATCTCCTTCTCCTCCCCCTCCTCTCCGTCCTCCTCGTCCTCCTCCTCCTCCTCCTCCTCCTCCTGCTCTTCCTCCTCCTCTTTTTCCTCCTTCTTCTCTCCCTCATCCTCCTCCTCCTCCTCCTCTTCCTCCTCCTCCTCCTCCTCCTCCCTCCTCCTCCTCCTCCTCCTCCTCCTCCTCCTCCTCCTCCTCCTCCTCCTCCTCCTCCTCCTCCTCCTCCTCCCCCTCCTCTTCCTCCCCCTCCCCCTACCCCTCCTCTTTCCTCCTTCCTGCCTCTCCTGCGCTCCCTCCAGCTCTCCTCCTCCATCTCCACCGTTTCCTTCTCTCCGTCTCCTCCCTTCCGTTCCTCCCACCTCGCTCCCTCCCTCCCTCCCTCCCTCCCTCCCTCGTCCCATCCTTCTTCTCTCCTCTCTCCCCCCCTGTGTCAGTTCAATGTTCACCTTGGGGCGAGACTTGGGACCAACGTGCTGCATCATCGGACTCTTTCTGGGAAGCCGCCTCGATGGCTTTGGTGAGGCACGGTCGGTACGCCAGGATCACGACAGACAGGAAGGCGCGAGCAGGAGCGGAGTAGTATTATTCAACCGGGGCGTCCTGGCAAAAGAAGCGAAGCATCTTGCACATTTCCCTGACCCTCGGTGTCCTTGCAAAAGCAGCGAACCATCTTGCACATTGCCCTCACCCTCAGCTACTGCCACTGCCACCGGGGGTCTTCCGCTTCATCCCCAGCAGAGCTGGTCGTAGTTCCATGCCCGCGAGCGGACCGAACGAGCGACAGGTTGGCGGACCTTGACGGCCAACGAGCAGCTCGGGGAACGCGTATGTGGCCGCGCGCGGGCGCTCGCAGCCACAAATGCGCCCGACGCCGCAACCAGGGAGGGAATTCTGGGCTGTCCGCGAGCGACGGCAATCGCAACCGCTCCCGTTCTCCGAAGATCGAATTAAAGCGAGGCAGGCCTAATTTTTGAGGGGTCTGGTTTGAGAGGTATTGGAGGGACCCCGTGGGGCCTAGGCAAGCGACCGCCCTCGCATGGCTGGTCTAAGATTCAAGGGCGCCCTCGAGGGCGCGAAGTTATTCGCGCTTCGAGCTTCGCGGTTCGGCTCCGATTCCTCCTCGTCCTCCTCTTCTCCCCTGGGGGGCGGCGCGAGAGCGCGAAGTCACTCGCGCTTTGCGCTTCGCGCAGCGCGAAATACGAAGTTGGGCGCCCCTGAGCATTGCTCGTCTGTCAGGGTTGTGACCCCTCCCTCGGCGGCCAGCCCGGGGAGAGCTGCGAAGGGACGCAGAAGACTCCTCAGAGGGCGCGAGGGCTTCGGAGACGGTCCCGCCGCCCCCTGAGAGAGGCCTTCTCTCCTCCTCGCCTCGACCCCCTCCCTCGCTCTCGGCGGACCCTCTGCTTCGACGCGCAATGCAGCCGCAACCGCAGGGCGCGGCGGTGGAGCACACTCCGGGGCGCCGCGTGCGCGCCGCGGGCGCCCGCGACCCCACGGGCCACCGGGGAAGGGCCCAGACCTCTCGGGGTTGACGTTGTGAGCAAAAACACAGCGTGGCGGGTCTGGGGCCGATGGCTCCAGCCGCTGGCCGAGATCTTCCCGGGGACCACGTCGTGAGACAATCGCGACGTCGGGGGTCCGGGTCCGCAACCGCACCCGCGGCCGCAGCCTCGGCCGGTGAGCATACCTTCTGGACCACCTGCCGGTTGGAGCCGGCTGGGGGTCTGAGGTGGCCAAGCCAGCAGGAGGTTTGGGGGGGGGCAGGTTCGAGGTGCTGTTTTATGCTTTTTACTTTTTCCGATCTCCAGGTGCAGTTCTCGGGCCCCAGGACCGTCACAGACGCGTCCCGGATGAAACCCCGCACCCAGTTTTGAGAGGATTTGCCTTCCCCCCCCCTCTTGACCGATTTTCTCGGGGCCGAACCCGCTGAGACCCCCTGGCCGCCTCCAACCTGCCGGCGCCTCCATCCGCAGTCACACCCGCAACCGCAAGCGGGGAGCACGTGCTGTGCCGCCCGTGGGCGACAGCAACCGCAACTGCCGTCTGGGGGCGTTCTTCGGGGGCAACGTTAGAGGGGATGCATCGGCCCCAAATCGCCACTGATCGCCGATATGGGCTGATGCCCGCCCCGCCCAGGAACGTGCGGATTCGCTATCGAGAGCCTGTCGCCGATCCATCGGCGATGCATCGCCGATTCCATGTCGATGTTTCCTCCATGAGCTGGTCCTCCCTTATCGTTACCCTTCAGCTCTTGGGCCGTCTTGGATTTTTCTTAGGCTGTCTTGGGGCTCTGAGGCCTTCGATGGCCTTGTCTTGTCGTGTCTTACCTTATTTCGTTGGGGCGGTCCTGGGATGGGACACGGGGCCCTCTCGGATCTCTTCCAGGGCAAGCCATCGGATCGTCGGAGCCATTCTCCTCCTCCTCCTCACCATCACCATCAACATCATCATCAACATCACCATCGTCATCACCATCACCATTACCATCACTGTCACCGTCACTTTCACCATCACCACCACCACCACCATCACCATCACCATCACCATCACCATCACCATCACCATCACCATCACCATCACCATCACCATCACCATCACCATCACCATCACCACCATCACCATCACCATCACCATCACCACCACCATCGCCATTGTCATCACCGCCACCATCGTCGTCGTCGTCCCATCATCATCATCATTATCATCATCGTCATCGTCATCGTCACCATCCTCATTATAAGCATCACCACCACCACCACCGCCACCACCACCACCACCACCATCACCACCACCACCACCACCACCATTACCACCACTACCACCACCACCACCACCACCACCACCATCATCATCATCAGCAGCAAAATCATCACCAGCATCATCAACGACTGTCTCAATCATAGGTACCATCACCATCACCATTCAAAGCCACCGCCACCATCACCACCATCGTCATATTTAGCCACTTCCGTAGCCATGGCAACACTTCTGCCATCATCATGGTTGCCATCGCCACTGTTGCTGCACGCCGCTTCTGGGCGAGGCTGGCGGTGCTCGGCACGGACACTGCAGAGTTCCCGTTCCACGTTGGTGCCCTTGATTGTATAAAGTCTGAAGAGTTGGCCTTGTTGTTGGTGGTGCCGTAGGAGGTGGAGGAATGATACATTCATGACCGAGTCCAGAACAAGCCGATCGCATTGTCTTGCTTGATTCCCACTAATCCTGGTGGCTGCATGCAACGGTGCACCCCGTCCCCACACATCGTAACTGCGACCACCATTACCTTAACCGCGACCACAACCACGCGCACCTGAGGAAAATGTCACCCACGCGCTCACACACCAACCCCACAGCTCCGTACTAAACCCAGACTATCTTCGCCCCACCCCACCCCGCCCCAGCTACCCAGCCAGCAAGCCAATCGGGCGTCCTTCCCATCTTACCCTTCCGTCCGTGTATCGGCCAACCAACTACCGGTGTGCTGCCGATGCTGACGCCAGCCGCCATTACCACCAGTGCTGCTGTCCCTCCGCATCCGTCACCTGTGTTGTATACATTTCTGCACGCATGCATGTATGTATAAATTTATGCGTATACATATATATATATATGCCATGTTTGCTTGTTTGTTTGTTTGGTTGTCTGTTTGTTTGCTTGTCTGTACGCACACATATTTGCATACATGTACATCTCTATGTATGTATGCACGTACATATACATACACATGTATTCGTGTACGCATGTATGCGTGTATGTATATATGCACGCATGCATGTACATATGCATGTACGTGTGTATGTATGTTTGCATTACTGTACATGTGCATATGAATGCATGCATGTATGCATGCATATATGTATGTACGTATGCATGCACGTATGTACGAATCTATGCTGGTACACATGTACGTACGTATGTAGAAGCGTATGCATATATGTATGTCTGTATGTACGCACGTATGTACGTATGTATGTATACATATATGTATATATCCATGTATGTATGCATGTATGTCTGCACGTATGTGTATATATAGGTAGGTGTTTCTGTAGGCAGGTAGACAGACAGGTAGGTATGTAGGTAAATAGGTAGGTTCGTCTGTAAGTGTGCATTCATGCATGCATGCACACATGCATGCATGCTTGTATGTTTGTATGTGTATACGTGTGTATGTACGCATGTATGTATGTACGTTGGTACGCATGTATGCATGCATGTAGGTATCTATGTATGGATGCATCCATGTTGGTATGTATGCATGCATGTATGTATGTACGTTTATATGCATATATGTATGTATTGCTGCACGTATGCATTTATGTTTATATGTATGCATGCATGTATGTATGTATGTATGTATGTATGTAGGCATGCATGTCTACATGCATGCATGTATATATTCATGTATGCATGTATGAATGTATGAATGTATATTTATGTATGTATGTATGTATGTATGTATGTATGTATGTATGTATGTATGTATGTATGTATGTATGTATGTATGTATGTATATGTAGATGTAGATGTAGATGTATATGTATATGTATATGTCTATGTCTATGTCAATGTCTATGTCTATGTCTATGTCTATGTCTATGTCTATGTCTACGTCTATGTCTATGTCTATGTCTATGTCTATGTCTATGTCTATGTATATTGTCTATGTCTGTGCATGTGTGTATGTATAAATGCATGCATTCATGCATGCATGCATGCACATTGGTACGTATGTATGTAAGTATATATGTAATGTAAGATAATGCAATGTAATCGAGTGTAATGTAAGATTGTGGATTTAAATGTAATGTAACGTAGGGCAGTGTAGTGTAATGTAGTGTAATGTAATGTAATGTTGGTATGTATGTATATATGCATGTATGTACGTATGCATGCATGCACGCATGCATGCATGTATGTACTTACTCCACATCCCTTGTTCAACGCCCCCCCTTAAATACTGCCCCCCCTGCTTCGGCACACTAATACTCTGGCCCCCCCTCCACGGGAGGCACCTTAATATTCCAGCCCCCCTCTGGGAAAGTTGAACGTTGTAGTTAAGTTGGTGGACATGATTGGGCTGTGGTTACACAGTGGTGACGGCATTGGTGATCAGATCTCTGTCGGTTTAGGACGTCGACAACAACTAGGATCAATACGATGAATACCATGATCGTGCATGTGATGCTGTGGTGCAGGCGCCATCCCTATACATATATACGCCATGCCACACACGCACATACATACAAATATATACATATGTATATATATATATATATATATATATATATATATTTATACATATATATATATATATAAATATCTATATTATGGCTGCGGTTGCGGTGGCGGCCCCAAAGGCGGTTACAAACAGCGTGGAACGAAGAGCCAAGCAACAATGGCGAGACAAATAATGGGGAAGAGTGAGTATACGTACGGAATGTTGATCACCACCGTCATCATGATCGCCGTCGAGTGCGGTCTTGAAACACATTTTCAGTTTATTAGGAGCCATCCTGAAGGTCAGTTTCAGACCTCTTGCCCAAAATGGCCATTCAAAAAGCGCCATAATTCTCCGGCCCTCCCTTCGCTTCGTTCACGCGAAACCGCCTTAACATTCTGGCCTCCCCCCCTTTGGAAAAAGGCGACTTAATATATTGGCCCCGCGGGCCGCTTAATAAGGGATATGGAGTAGGTGTGTAATTTCGCATGTGTATATGTATGCATATCTGTTTGTTTATTTTTTGTTTTTGTTTGTTTGTTTGTTTGTATGTATGTGTGTGTGTGTGTGTATGTATGTATATATTTGTGTGTAACGTATGTATGTATGTATGCATGTATGCATGCATGCATGCATGCATGCATGTATGGATTTATGCCTGCCTGTACCTACGTATGTATATATTCACGTATGTGTGTGTGCTTATGTATGTACGTATGTACGCATGTAGGTCGAGCGATAGGTAGATAGGTATGTAGATAGGCATGCATGTATGTATGTATGTATGTATGTATGTATGTATGTATGTAGGTAGAGAGGTAGGTAGGTAGGTAGGTAGGTAGGTAGGTAGGTAGGTATGTATGTACGTACGTATGTATGTATGTGTGTGTATGTATGTATGTATGTATATCTAGCTTTGCATAGGCGAACTTTGTCGAGAGCTCATGAAGGCGGGAATCCATCTCGCGAGAAGGGGTGGCGGCGGGCAGTCCGCTTGTGGCCGCGGTGCGCTGTCTCCTCCGAGTGCCGCTCGACGCTGCCGCTTCTGGCTGGATTGCCTCCGTTGGCTCTCTTCCTGCTTCAGCGTCCGAGCGTTTGTTGCCCGCGGCCACGCTCCTGGGGGTCCGAATCGGCGAGTGCCCCCCGGGGGGTGGGGTGTCTGGGAGGCTACACGACGTTTGAGTGGCCCTTCGCCAAAGTGACCCCTGGTGCAGGCCCAGTGGGGCCTCCCGATCGCTGCACGCGAAGCGGTAGCCGCGGCTCGCGCGCCCAGGTTTGGGCACCCCGCGCCCCCGTGACGCCGCGCACCAAAGGTCGCTCATGCCTATGGCTGCTCTTGCGTGAGGCGGGGTGGGGGACTGCTGCACTCTCGCTGTGGCAAAGCATCACGAAGAGGGCTCGCCGTCTGCGTCGCCGCGGACGTTGTCCGTTCGAGACGGTAGGCCGCCTGCCCCCCCCCCACTGTGGCCGCCACCGCTCTTGGACAGCACCATTTCTTTGTTTGTTCACTCCGTGCCCCTCCTTTCCGTACCCGCTTGTGGATAAGACCGTACCAGCCCAAGCCTCCAAGCCCACCGCAGGGCGCCCCGAGAGGGCCCCAGGAAGCTCTCAAGAGACGTCCGAAGAGACTCCGAGGGGTATCAAGGAGGCCTTTGGCCTTGCTGCTCGTCCTCCTCCTATTTCGCCATCTTTGGCACCGTACCCCTTCTTTCCGTACCCACTTCGGGCGCTCAAGAGGCTGGGTGGGCAATCGGGGACGGAGGAGGGGCAGCAAGGGCGCCCTCGAGGGCGCGAAGGTATTCGCGCCTCGCGCTGCGCGGTTCGGCTCCGACTCCTCCTCTGCCCTTCTCCCCTGGGGGGCGGCGAGAGAGCGCGGAGTCACTCGCGCTTCGCGCTTCGCGCAGCGCGAAGCGCCAAGTGAGGCGCCCCTGGGTAGGGGCGGGGGGAGGGAGCCCCTCGGGCCTGCCTCCTCGCCGCCCCTCCTCTGCCGGCGGCCGCCGCCCGTGCGGCCCCTCGGGTCCCGACCAGCCCCAGCCCGCCGCCGCAGGAGAGCATGCGCCGTCTCGAGCAGTCCGTGTCCTCCGGCTCGTGCGGCACCTCTAGCACGGGAGCGGCGCGGCAACTTTGGGTCTTGTTGTTTGTTTGTTTGTTTGTTTGTTTGCTGGTTTCCTTCTTCAGCTGTCTGTGCGTGCGTGTGTGTGTGTATTCTTCGCCCGCCGATGTGTGTATACACACCTGTGTGTACGTATATACTTGTGTTGTATACACAAGGCCGCGTGTGCGCTTGACCCCATGCACTGTGGCCCTTCAATATTCGCATGCAGATGGAACGAAGCCGCATACATATATATATATATATATATATATATATATATATATTTATATATGTATATCCATATGTCCAGGTGTATCTGCATACATGTAAGTTTTTGCCTACGTGTATGGGCATACTAGATAGAGTTAGGTGTACATGTATATGTACACGCATTTGCTAACGTAGTGCATTCGATTTATGCGTACGTGCATATACTTTTCATGTGCACCAGTATAGGCATTCGTATGATTACACGTATATGTATCAGTCTATGTACATGTGTATATAAACATACGTGTGCGTGCATATGCATATGGATAGGCTTTGTAAATATGACTATTTGTATGCAGTTGTATACTAATGCATATGTGTAGGTATGTATGTCAGTTTGTGTATATTCATATGTGTTGTGTATATATATATATACATGTCCGCATCCCTCTATATGGACATGCATTTGTATACGTATTCGGTTGCGTTTGCATATGCACATGCATATGCTGTTATATCAATGTATATACATACGTGCGTACGTACACACTCACACAGTTATCTCATATGTCCATGCCTATGCACATGTCTAGGTTGGGGTGTATGTATAAGGCTATGTTTATGCATACACATGATACGCATACTCACATGCTTATGCATGTGCATATGCATATGCGTATGCGTATGTGTATGAGCATGACGACATATTTGTATTGTGTATGTGTAAAACAGGTGTAGGGTAAGGCATCTGTATTTGTATTTCTTTGTAGTTACACATGTTATTTGGTGTGTCCACGTCCATTTACATATTAATGTAACGGTTTACGTATGCACACATGCATGCATACGCATATGTATATACAAGTCCATGGACATATTTCTGTACATGTATGTGTGTATCCGCGCACGGCGCTGATGTCGCGGCCCCCTGTCCAGCCCACATGCAAAATACAGATATTGTGCATAGAGAGTTTGGTGACCAAGATCTCGGGCGTCTCCAACCCCTCTTCTCTGCCGAATCGTCGTTGCAATCTAAACGGTCGCCGCACTGGCCGGCCGAGCGGCGGTACCAAGCTGTATTCGATAATTGCGCGGCTCCCGCTGCCGCTTAGGGTTCTTCTTAGTTTTTGGTCGAGGCGTTTCGTATCACCGTGGTAGCATACGGTATATATATGGAGGCATGAATCACAGCCTCTCTCTATCATTCTGTTTTGTTGCTTATCGCGTGGCCTTGAGGGAGAGTCTGGGAGCCACGGCGCGGTTGCGGAGAGTGTCGTTTGTCAGGCGGTGGAGTAGGGAGGGGCGATGCCCAGAACAAGACGACGGACGCCAAACGAGGGGAATGATGATGATGATGATGATGATGATGATGATGATGCTGATGATGCTGATGCTGATGCTGATGCTGATGCTGATGCTGATGATGATGATGATGATGATGATGATGCTGATGATGATGATGATGATGATGATGATGATGATGATGATGATGATGAGGAGGAGGAGGAGGAGGAGGAGGAGGAGGAGGAGGAGGAGGAGGAGCGAGGAGTGAGGAGTGAGGAGTGAGGAGGAGGAGGCGGGGCAGGCGGAGCAGTCGGGCCAGCGGTGCCCGCCGGCGGCCGCAGGACTTCCGCAGGGTCACGCGTTCCTGCAAGAAGGTCGGCCTGCCTCGGCGCGGGGGGCGCAGGGCTGCTGCGCGCGAGGCCTCCCCGTAGCCTCGGCTCGAGCCCGCGCCCCGAGCCCTGGCCCGAGTCTCGGTCGTGGTCGTGGTCACGGTCCTGTCCTTGCTCCTGGTCCGGGTCTCGGCTTTGGTGCTGCGTGAGTGCTCGCTGCAGTGACTCCTGCGCAGCCCGCGTCCGCCCGACCGCGTCGAGTCTCGGGGCGCTGCGAGCTGAAAGCGCGTACTCACTGGACGCCCTGAATGCCTCGGTCTTTCGCTGCAGCCGATAGTGGCTACCAGTGTTGGACACCTCGTGCGGATTGTGCGCTCAGTCAGGCGTGTGGCATGAACAGAGACCGCTCTGTACAGTTTGGCCTGTTGATGGTGTTGTTCCGGCTTGTGGCTTCAGCGAGCGTTGTGTTCGCTAGCGGGGAGAGAAAGTTTTGACGCTCTCCGTGTCCCCACCAGCCCATCCAGAACAGATGCATGCCCACGCGAGGTGTCTTATAGTCTGAAGAGCCTCACGGAGGCCTTCTGGAGCTATCTTATTAGGAAGGGACAAAGGAGGACGAGGAGCATGAGGAGGAAAATGAGGAGGAGGAGGAGGAAGCGGAAGAGGACGAGGCGGAAGAGGAATAGTAGAAAGAGGATTTGGAGGACAAAGAGGAGGGGAGAGGAGGAGGAGGAGGAGGAGGAGGAGGAGGAGGAGGAGGAGGAGGAGGACGAGGAGGAAGAGGAGGCGGAGGAGGAGGATGATGATGAGGAGGTAACACGTAAGGAGAAGGAAACCGTGATCGCCCTGCGGATTGCTTGCAGTTGGAGCCTCTTGGAGGCGTCTTGGAGCCATCATTCGGTCATTTTGGTTTTCTTTTTGGGCAGTTTTTGGGGCTCACTTGGGTCTCTCTGAGGCCGTTTGGGGCCATGTTAATGCCTCACAGGCCCATTGGAAGCGAAACGATGAGAAGGCAACAATCATTGAACAATTGGTTTGTTTGTCGATTCTGGCGTGCTGGGGGGTTCCTCCGGGGGCTCTGGGGGCACTTGGAGCCTTGTCGGGGCCGTCTTGGGGCCTCTTTGAGGTATGTCGTCGGCTATATTGGGCTATCTTCGGTTGTCTTGCGCAGTCTTGGAAGCCATCTTGAGGCATCGGTGGCCATCTTGAAGCCACCTGGGACGAGGGTGAACCCCTCCCCGAAGGGGAAGAAGGGAGACTGGAAGAGGGAAGAGTCGGGCCGCTAGATTGCCTGCGCCAAGAGGGCTGGACCACGGTCTGTCGCCGTGGGTTTCGGCCGGACGACTTCTGACGAGACCTTGTTACGCCTGCGGTTGTTGGTGCCCTCAGTCCAAAATTTCGGCCCACCCATCCACAGGTAGACTGGCGCCCGGACCTGCGCCAGGGACTGTCGTCATGCTGGCGCTGGGCTGTGCGAGCTTCGGCATCCCATCTTTGCCACGCGTGTTTTATTTTCATGCCTGGAAACATGTGTACAGACTGTACGCTTCGTCTTATTGTATGCAGCCGCCAATGCATTAGCGCAGCTGGAAGCTGGTCGATGTCACCACGCCGCGACGCGTTGCAATTCTTTCTGCTTGTTTTACGTGCTCCTGACATCGTGATTGAGCATTACATGTTGTTCTCTGAGCTACCCTTTGCTGCTGCGCTTCCGTCTTTGCCAATGTAGCGCATTTGAATAAGTCCGCCGTGGGGGAAGCAGTGTGTGTGTGTGAATTTGTGTATGTGTGTTCGCACCCTCTTTTCGCCTCTCCCGTCCGCTTGACCGTGACGCCAAATAAATTCGTATGTGTTTGCTCGCCCTCCCCTGGCCTCCCATGCCTATTTGCCGTCCTTGGCACGCCCTCCCACTGCCTACTTCCATCTGCCTCGCGTCTGTCCCCCGTCCGTGTCTGGCTTCAGCCACACTGCTGCCGCTGCTTCCCCTTCAGGTGTACCTTTCGTCGTCTCTCGCTCGTTCCCTCTCACGATTGCCCCCGCGCGAGTCCCCACGCAGCGTTGCTCCCTATGGCCGAGCCCTGCGTCACATCGCTTGGTGAATGCGTGAGGGTCTAGCGCGCGCTCGCTACCGACTGCCTGACTCAGCCGTGTCGCCGCGCGCATAGCCGTGACGCCCAAAAGGTATGTGTGTGTGTGTGATTTGTTGTGTTGGTGCGCACGCTTGCTTGCGTTATTCTGCGTTCGAGTTTTTGTCCATGCGTGGCGCCTTGTGCAAGTCATCTTGAGCTTTTCCTTGGCTCCCCTCTCGTGTTCCCCCCTCCATGCTAGTCGACCTGCCTTCTCTTCTGCTCCTCCTTCTCCTCCCCCTCCGCTCTCCTCCCAGATCAGGTCTTGGTGGCTTGCCTGTGGATGGACACGGCAAAGGCCATCGAGCGGACCTTGCCTCGGCAGCCTTCCGGTGTTTTGTGTCGCCATAGTCTGGGCCGTCTGCCCTTCCTGATCCCCCCCTGGGGGGCTGACGGACACGGGGCGAGGATCTGGGGGAGGGGACAGATGGAGACAAGGGATGCACTAGTTTCGTTCACGCCATATCTGACATCGTACCCCTTCCACTCATCCCTTCCTTTTTTGCTGATTTTTCTATCCGCCGACTGCGGTGTCTTAGAGAACCTTATTCGTACAGCTGTCCTCATCGCGTGATGCGCAGTCGGAAGGGGAGAGGGTTTGTACATTGAAACAGGAGGAAGATGAGGAGGAGGATATAGCGGATGAGCAGGAGGAAGAGGCGGATTGTGAGAAAGGAGGAGGAGGAGCAGCAGCAGGAAGGAGGACCAGGGGGGCGCGGAGGAGGGGAAATGATGGGAACGGCAACGACTAGGAAGGATTCGGAGTCAGAAATGCGGCCCGCGCAGTGGCGAGAGCGCTCTTCTGAACGACGGGAGCAAAGCGCTGATGCTGAAATCGAGCCAGCGCTGCAGCGGGAGCACCACGTTGAAGGATAGTCAACGTTATGATAGCAAACAGACAGATGGAAGACCACGCTTTCACGTCCTGTGTGTAGAAACATTCTGCGGGAGTGGCCGCGCCACGAAAGGACAGAGGCCGGAGTCAAAGGACAGAGGGGAGCTTTTCCCCAAGCAGTGCTTGCACTTGGAGGTTCTCGTTTGCCTTCGTGAGTGCCCGGATGGGCGTGTCGGGTTTTTGCCTGGTACCCAGTTGGTTGGCCGCCCGTGGGCGCCCCCCCGTGCGCTGGGTGCACCACATGCCCTTGCACGGCATACCTTCCAGCACCCAGGCTGCATAACGTTGCTCGTATCTCGTAGTTTACACCAGCTCTCTTGCAACGTATAGCTTGCACCACATATATTGAACTACGTAGATTGCGCTTGCACCACGTACAGTGCACCACATGGTCTACGTCACATAGGTTGCGTCGCAGGTGTTGCGCGACATTGTTTGCGCCACGTAGCTTGCGCCACATAGCTTGCACCGCGCACATGTCACCACACATATTAGTTTGCAAAGCGAATTCGGCTCTACTCTCCGAGGCCGGGGTTGTCCCCTGGCTCCTGCGCATGGTGTTCGGATATTTCTTAGGTGTGTGTATATATATGTATGTATATGTGATGTAGCACCATGATTGCCGACGCTTTATCGATCCCATCGTCTATCCGAAATAAATCAGTGCGGTGCGTACGCGTGGACTCAGCGAATGCGTTGGGACAAGTTCTAATTCCATGGTGCCATGCGGGCCAGATCCGCGCGCGCATGTCGTAATTTCTCCGAAGCGGCACTGGTCACCATGGACGTTTCAGCAATATGGAATCAGCCGAGTGCTTTGTCATCAAACAGCATCATCTGCCCGCAAGCAATACCAGTTATGTGTGCGCGCACTCGCTGAAATTCTACCAGAACAAAACTTTGTCATGCTGTTAAAAGAGGCACTGCGGGCAACAGGCGCGCGCGTGTCATTACCGTTCAGCGATCATGGCGCTCCCGCCGACTCTGGCAAACTATACCATGCGGGCCGCACGCGCACGTCTCCGCGAGCGCACGTGGAACCCTTTCCCAAACAATACTTTGTCTGAGCACCGCAATACATTGGTTTTTAATTCCGACACCTGTCTGGGTTTTAGAATTTTTGCGCGCGTGCACTTCCTCGTCGTCCTCATCAGCACCAGCAATCTCATCATCGACAGTGTCGTCATCATCACCACCACCGTCGTCGCCATCATCCCCACCGCCGTCATCAGCGTCATCAGCGCCACCATCATCATCACTCGCCCGCCCGATTGAATGATCTTCATGAGAAGGATCCCCACCTCATTACGCCAGTTGAGTTTAGCCTGCACGTCGTGAGTGGGCAGGTGGGATGTTTGCTCGAGCATTGGGGTTGGCGTCGAGCATGGGAGGTGGTCGCAGACCATGTGGTCAAACATTGATTGACCAGACATATATATATATATATATATATATTCCTTCTCGAATATTCTTATAAGGAACCCCCCCCCCCCGTACATAAATTCGGCCCCTCGGACGTGAAAGTCGAAAGTTCGGATTCGGACCCCCCCAGGCCACCCTGCGCCGCTCGGCCGGGCCCACGAACGCTTCCCGGACGGTCCCGGGGAGACCCGAGACGGCCCAAGATCGCTCCGGGACGGCCCATGAGCGCTCACAGAGGGACCACACACGGCCCAAAAGGCTCCCAAGAGGTCCCAAGAGAGCTCAGAGAGGCTCCCCAAGAAGGCTTCGAGAGACTAATTTCGTTAATTTCGTATAGTTTTTCCGAGTATTTGGCCGTCTCCGCTTTCTCCGCTTTCTGCACTTCACAACGGCCCCATAGGCCCCCAAAACCGCCCAAAGGAGGCACAAGAGGTCCCCACGACAGCCCCAGGACGGCCCAAGACGGCCTCAAGACTCTCCAACGAGCGCCCGGGACGAGCCCAGGAGGCCCCAAGACTCCCCCAACAGAAGCCGAAAAGGAGGAACATGACGCACCAAGAGGCCCCCGAGAGGCCCCAGACTCTCCCCAGACGCCCCAATCAGGTCTCAAGCCCCCGCGAGGCCCCAAAAATGGCCCCAGGGATCCCCAAAACAGCCCCCAAGACGGCTCAATAACGCACCCAAGGGTCTCCCAATGCGGCCCCAGGAAGCTACAGTCATTACCATTCTTCGGAAATAGATACGCTTCTACCTCATTTGTGCCCTGGGCTTCCACGAAGGCAACAATGAGTCGACAAGACGTGCAAGCTCCGCGAGCCCCCCCTTGAGCCCTATGGACCCTATGAGCCCTATGCGCCCTACGACCCCTACGATCCCTATGAACCCTACGGGCCTTATGAGCCCCATGAGCCCTTTGAGCCCTACGAGCCCTATGAGCCCGATGAGCCCTACGAGCCCTATGCGCTCTATGAGCCCTATGACCCCTACGAGCCCTATGAGCTCTATGAGCCCTATGAGGAGCCCTACGAGCCCCATGAGCCCTGTGCGCCCTATGATCCTTACGATCCGTGTGAGCCCCATGAGCCCTATGAGCCTTATGAGCCGTGTCAGCCCGATGAGCCCTATGAGCCCTATGAGCCCCGTGACCCCAGTGAGCCCTATGAGCCCTATGAGCCCTATGAGCCCCATGAGCCCCATGAGCCCTACGAGCCCTATGAGCCCTGTGAGCCCTATGGACCCACTGAGCCATATGAGCCCTATGAGCCCTACGAGTCCTGCGAGCCCTATTAGCCCCATGAGCCCTGCAAGCACTGTGAGCCCTATGGGCCCCAAGAGCCCTATGAGCCTGATGGCCCCTATGAGCCCTACGGGCCCTATGAGCCCTATGCGCCCTACGAGCCCTACGAGCCCTATGAGCCCTATGAGCCCTATGAGCCGTACGAGCCCTATGAGCCCCATGAGCCCTGTGAGCCCTACGAGACCTATGAGCCGAGTGAGCTCTACGAGCCCTTTGAGCCCTACGAGCCCTATGAGCCCTATGCGCCCTATGAGCCCAAGACGGCCCCAAGACAGCCCCAAGACAGCCGAAGACATGCCCAAGACAGCCAAAGAGAGTTCCAACAAGGCCGCAAGTCAGCTCTAATCCTGCGGTACCACTGCTCCCTTTCTGCATGTGCCCTCTGTGAGCTACATGAGCCACATGCTCCCCTATGCTGCTACATGACCCCATGAGCCCTACGAGCCCTGCACCGTCCTCCGGAAGTTCTCGGGCTGACGAGCCCTACAAACCGCACGCTGAAGTGGAGGCAGGACATGGCGAAAGAGCACTGCCAAGCCCGTCCGGTCAGGCCACATCCCTGCTCGAATCCATGCGCCTCTGCAGCGTCCTCGTACTTTACTTCGCTCCCCTTCTCCCCCTCTCTCTGCCTTCTCTACCTCCCTCGTGTGCTTCTCTGCAAATCCTTCTTCCGCACATTTGCTGCTCGCCCAATCCCAGTGGCCACTCGGCTCGAACTTCTTTCCCTTCGCGCTCTGCTGTGTTTGCGTTCCCCATGGCAGCAAACCCGCCCGCCAAACGCAAGCATCGATGTTCCACAGGTGGCGTGCCGCCTTTGACCACGATCGACGATGCAATTTTTGCGGCGTCGTGGGCAACTCTTTCGTCCACTTGCAGCGCCAATGGCGTTCCGTGCGGCGGAGCCCGCAGCATTTTGCTGCAGCGCTTGGCCGCGCATTGGACGGAGCCCGACCCGCCGCCGCGCACGGATACCTCCTGGGCTCTTCGGAAGATTCGGACACTGGAGGCTGAGCTCGTCGCACTGCGCGCGGGCGACGACGCCGATGCCGACCTTCCTTGCGTAGACCCCATCTTCGCCATCGAGGACGCGCCAGCGACGTTTCCCATCGCTGACGAGCCCCCTGCTGCGGACGCCGAGGCCTCGTCACCGGAGGGTCCTGGCCCTGCCAGAGAACCACCCTGGCGGCCAGACCCGGACTTCCAGGACTTTGCAGACAACCTTCTCCGGGACGCATCGGCTGCGTTGTCCGTGTGGACTCGCATGGACCAGCGCGCCGACGTGGTCACCATGTACCACGCGTACGACGAGCTTCGCTCCAGACCGGCTTGCACCGAATCCCACGCGCTGTGGTGGCTGTCCTTGCTGCGCATCGTGCCTCGCCGTCGGCCTGTTTGCGCCGCCCTAGCGGCGCTGGCCGCGGCCTCCACCGAGCCAACAGAGGCCAACGCACTCGCCATGGCAGCAGCTGTCCGTGCCGACCCCGTGAAGGAGACTCGCTGGGACACGTCGCGCCCAGTGGGGGGCGCACCCGTTCTAGACCAACTCCTGCGCAGCCCCGCGGGCATGCACAGCCTGCTCGACCACGCCGCCGCCACTGCGGACCTGCAGCTCGAGGCTAGAACACCGCGAGCCCTCGACCTCACCCTCGAAACGTCGAAGACGAAACTCCCCGTCTTGCACGTGGGGTGCAAGTA